GGATGGCTATGAAAATCATCTAGCCGTGGACTCGGCTTCCCTGATCAACCATACAAAATGGCGACTCTCATGATGACCGGCCTGAACGCCTGGAAGTTGTTTCGGATTCCGGATAAAACACAAATCCTTTACCGACGAAATGGATTCGAAACCTTTGTTCTCAAGTTGTCAAATACTTATCCACCTTACAAAAAAATAAAATGCGACAAACTTTTGGCTCGGCAACATTTATTAAAGAGGAAGCACTTTCCCATCCCTCTCAATCAACCTTCTTTTTGCACCAAAGAATGGCCTTTTAATGTTGACCCATTTAGCCCATCATATTTTATCAGGTGCACGGGTGTTAATAATACCTCTTATTCTCTCAAACAATTTCTAGTAACCACCCTACATATAATATTTACATTTTAATATTTCTATTTACAAGAATAACCCTTAATCAATATAAAAAAATAAACCACAACAAAATTTGGCTGCATTTGCTACTCGGACTATTACAGCTCGAGTATAATAATGGCTAGCGATTAACTATTGGGAGTAGCTATCCGAGCAATTCCGAAAAACCGAGGGCGAGCGGATCGCACAAGACAGTGCCTAGAACACATACTTTGATTTTCTTTTACAATATGGAGAATGGTCGCACTGCGCAGCTTTCTGAGTGCCTTTTAAAAGGAGATAGAAAACTCCGCCATTTTGAACCTTTATTACGTGTTGCCTACATTTTGGCGCAATATTTTTAATAGGTGCGTTTTACTCATGCGGGAACATTCAAAATTATCATTCACTATTTACACTTTAAAGTGGTAGTCAAATTAAGATTTGTTCATAATAATTATATTTGTTACAACAAAGCAAAAAATGAGTAGTATGGACCAATCCTGACTTGACTACAAGTTTAAATATTTTATTAAAACACAAAAATGCAAGAGCATGACTAATAAAATTAATTTATTGAAATAAAAACAAACATATAAATAGAATAATTAAATTTATCATGTTAAATTGCTGGAAAGTCAAGTTGCTTCATTTTCCACAGCGGTTGAAGAGTTTTATCTGGAACAAAAAATAAATATTAATAAACTTATAGAGCAAATTAAGGTTGCAGAAAGAAAAAAGGGACTAAGTCACATTTTTGTCAAAATTGAACTAATACCGCTCTATTTTGTAAAATACCAGTATGTTTCTATGTAATAAGCCAAGTTAGCAAATGCAAAACAGTGTACTTAAAATTATGTACAAGGACCTTAGCTACTATTTGTCTGGTACTTAAAAAAATTACAACTGTCTATTTTAGTGATAAACTACAACATAATCAGGCAGCATATATACAAAGTAACATCTTGTTGTAATCAATTACCTCAAAGTATCAAAAGTTTGTATTTAGTCAGTTTAAATTAAATTTGCTTCCCTGAACATTTTGGTAATTGTGACTTGGTCCCTTTTTTCCTTGCATCCTTCAAATCTGTTAGGGAGCACAGAAAGTAAGGCAGGAATAAAAAAAGGTATTACTTCCATGACTAGGCTATTTTATCTTCCACAATACAATACTGTCATTTCAAACGACTTGAAGAAAGTTTGTACCAGAATAAATAAAAAAACATTAAAAGTAACAATCTGAACTAAATCAATATACAAATCAAATGTGTAAGGCAGCGGGTAAAGTGAAGCATGAATACAAAAAGTACAGTGGCTATTACTTCCCTGACTAGACTGTTTTGACTTCAGTGATGCAATATTGCCACTCCTAAACGGCTTGAAAAAGTTTGTACTAGAACAAATAAAAAAACATTATAAGTAACAATCTGAATTAAATCAGTATAAAAAGCAGGGAAAGTAAGGCATTAGTAAAAAAAGTACAGTAACTATTGCTTCCCTGACTAGGCTGGTTTGTCTTTCACGGTGCAATACTGCCACCCCAAACGGCTTGAAAAAAGTTTGTACTAGAACAAATAAAAAAACAGTTACACCTCTGCGAGTACAAGAAACTTTAAACTTATCTTCAAAATGTTTATCACATACTAAACAGTTTTTACAAATTTGATGTGCTGTTTTATTATTACTGCGAACAGCCAATACCCAAATAATAAATAAATCATTATTAGGATCGGGTCTGGGTAAACGATGTCTTTTCAGAGTGTTTACAAAACAATTTGGCACACAACAACAAGTAAAGGAAATAGGAGAGTTTTAGCGCAAACCATATATATGTGAATTAACATGGGAAATCGCTAAGGTTTATTCTGCCAATTTTTGTCCATATCAAGGTCACTCGTTATGACATCACGTGTTATGACGTCATCAGCCAACTGTTGCCAATCTGACCTAACCTCAGCAGAACTGATCCCGAACGGATCTGGAACTGAGCCAGAACTGATCCGGAACTGATCCAACTGATCCGGAACTGATCCCGAACTGATCCGGTACTGTTCCGGATCAGTTCCCATGTTAATTCACATAAGGTTTGCGCTAGAACTCTCCTAGCCCCGTTACTACAACACGACATATTTTAACTTTTTAACAAAAAATCACCACAAAAATTTAAAATAAGCTTACAATCATCAGCAACATCAAGTAAACGAATTAAAAATTAAAAATACATTTGAACAAGACCAAGTTGACAATACAATAAACAATAATTTACAAAACACTTACTATTTATTCATCCAGGATCCAGGACACTCCCAAATACAAACAATTGAACAATAATTATTGACAATATTATAATCACATACTTTGATTTTCTTTACTATACGGTGTAAGAGAGAGGTCCGACCAATGAGGTTAGTATTATACCTCCATGGGTCCGACACGCCCAACATAGGGCGCAGCCATTTTGATTCCTATGCCACAGTTTATAGCTAAAGAATCAGATCGCTCACTCTGCGTCGGCACTTTTGATCTCAATGTTCCAGTTTATACACTGCGCAACTCGGATAATACAATATATGACAACTGCCTATAATAAAACAGCAGTCTTTTGCGTATCCTGAATTTGTATCCCTGGAGTGGATGTTATTTTGATACTTTCAACTGGTCCGAGTGAGCTAACTGATTCTTTAGCAATAAACTGTGACTTCAAAAATAATATTCACTGAAACTAACAGCAGCAAGCAAAATATCAGGTGCGTTTTAATCATCCGCTTTTGCTTCCGGAATTGTCGGTTTAGTCGTTTTAACCTGTCAGATTAAAACAAGAAAGCCGACAATTCCGAAGCAGAAGCGGATGATTAAAATGCACCTATTAAAAATATTGCGCCAAGATGTAGGCAACACGTATTATGGGATCAAAATGGCGGAGTTTTGTATCTCCTTTTAAAAGGCACTTAGAAAGCTGCGCAGTGCGACCATTCTCCGTATAGTAAAAGAAAATCAAAGTATGTGTGAAAAGTGAATAAGTCCATTTTTGTTGAAATTGCGATTTTTGCTACATCTTGTAGTAATATATCAAATTTATGGATTAAAGATTCAAAATTACTCAAATTGATAATAGATGTCGCTCATTTCATAGAAAAGAAATCTGCACAAGTTTAATACCTTTGAAAATAATATAAAAGTTGTACAAGTCCTAGTTGTTCTTATATTTTAATGACACCGCGTGCTGTGTGTATCTTTTAAGAAGTTTTAAACTGTATTTGTAATAATTTTGATAAAATTGTGCCTGAAATACTTTTTTTTGTTAGAGTATTGTTACTACTCATTATTGACTTACCTCTAATTTTATTCTAAAAATCTTATAAACTAATTACTTATCTAAAAAGTTCCCATTGGGCTGTCTTAATTGTTTCTATAGGAAAGCATCATACGTTGGCGTGACGAATTATTACACTGTTTTACACTAGCACTAACATTAACGTTCACTGCACTAGCTCAAATTGCTTTTTTCTTTTGAGCCTTCTGTTGAGTGTAGAGTTGTCCAGTAATTGCAGCGCTTTTTCGTTGACGTGAAAGTGGAATCGACCCTGATCTATCACAGCAAACCTCTATATTTCTTTTTCGATTGTTGGCATCTTCAGGTCTCTATGAAGATAATCGTTTCAATAGGACTTTATTTTGGAAAACTTGTATCATGTTGATATTACTCTTGCTGGCACATCCCCATAGCTGTATGGCATAAATCCAGATTGGTTTTAGGATTTGTTTATAAATCAGCAGTTTGTTGTACACTGACAATTTGGATTTTCTTCCTAGAAGCCAATACATTTTTTTGAATTTAACTTCAAGTTCTTTACGTTGTTTTTTATGTGATTTTTCCATTTAAGTCTTACATCTAGATTCATACCCAGGTATTTGGCCGAATCGTGATGCGGAATAACGTCATTGTTTATTATAATTTGTTTTTGTTCATTTGGTCGAAGAGTAAAATCAACATGCACTGATTTAGTTTGATTTATTTTTATTTTCCACTTTTTTGTCTATTGATTGATTCTGTTACAGGTTTCTTGAAGTTTTTCTGAGGTCTCTGTATTAGTTCCGTCAACTGCCAATATTGCAATGTTATCC